ATTAATCACAGGGTTAGCGGTTTAAATTCGGCCTCTACTCAAATAAATTACCAAACAAAGATTCAATTAATGGCTCGGCATAACAATTTCGCACTAGATCTCTCTTGCCTAGTTATTCCAAAAATATCAGACCAACTTCCTTCTATATCATTAAACAATGTAAATCTTACATTGCCAAATGTGATTTTGGCTGATCCTACGTTTACCCGACCAGGCCCTATCGATATATTAATCGGGGCTGGTAACTTTTTTAACATATTGTCGGTTGGTCAAATCTCATTAGGGGCAGGAAAGCCAATATTACAAAAAACCCTCTTTGGGTGGGTCGTTTCCGGACCTCTACAGCTTCCCAGTCATATAATAAATCAATCTGTATCTCAATGTAATTTTTCGAACGACTTAGCTCATAACTTGTCCCAATTCTGGGAAATTGAAAATATTTCAATGCCTACATCGGCTACAATGTCCAAGGAAGAAAACTTCTGCGAAAAACATTTTGTAGAACACACAAGACGCGATGCAGATGGTCGATTTATAGTAAACATTCCTTTTAAACGTGATCCTAAAATATTGGGAAATTCTTACGAAAACGCAAGGAAACGCTTTTATGCTCTTGAGCGCAAATTTAATTCAAATGCTGAATTAAAAGAGTCTTATACTTCATTTATAAATGAATATATTGATTTAAATCACATGAGTTTAGACAATAATCGTACATCCGCTACTCATTCACATTATTTCCTTCCGCATCATGCGGTAATTAAAAATCACAGTCTAAGCTCCAAAACAAGAGTTGTATTTGATGCATCCTCAAAAACCACGACAGGCATATCTCTTAATGATATTCAAGCCATAGGTCCCGTTATCCAACAAGACCTTTTTTCTATTGTATCTCGTTTTCGCAAATACAACGTTGCCGTTACTGCCGATGTAACAAAAATGTACAGGCAAATTCTCGTTTCTCCTGAACACAGATCACTTCAATCCATTTTATGGCGCCAGAATTCTAATGAACCGTTAAAAATATATAATTTAAACACAGTCACTTATGGCACAGCATCTGGTTCTTTTCTTGCGATAAGATCTTTGCAGCAGACAGCCCATGATCATAAATACATCTATCCTCAAGCCTCTCAAGCCATCCTACGGGATTTTTATGTTGATGATTTTTTATCGGGTTGCGATACATTAGACAAGGCATTTAATATACTTTTACGAGTTGCGCAAAGGGAATCGTTCTCACAAGAATACGCTAAACTATCACAAGGTAAAAGTCTTGGGCACAAAAATAAATTGTCGGCATTAAATCCTATTTTTGATGATAAATTGATCAGGGTGGGGGGCAGGTTAAGCAATTCTAATTATACTTATAGTAAAAAACATCCAGTTATTTTGGATGCTAAACACCCTCTCGCGACATTATTATTTTCATATGAGCATAAACGTCTACTTCACCCTGGCCCTCAGCTTCTTTTGTCATCAATTCGCGAATACTGCTGGCCAATAGCAGGTAGAAATCTTGCAAGAAAGGTTACAAGAAATTGCATAACATGTTTTAAGGCCAATCCTAAGAGCAATAATCAAATTATGGGAAATTTACCTGCCGACCGTGTAAATATTAATATTCCATTTAATGTCGTTGGCACTGACTACGCCGGCCCATTCACCCTTAAGGATAGAAAGGGCCGTGGCTGTAAAACTTTAAAGGCATACATCTGTTTATTTGTTTGCTTTGCCACCAAAGCAATTCATATCGAATTGGTTACTGCATTAGATGTCGAGCATTTCTTATCGGCTTTTAAACGTTTTATTGCTCGGAGAGGTCGTCCTTTTCGCATTGTATCAGACAATGGTACCAATTTTGTGGGCGCATCATCTGAATTACGCAATCTATTTAAATTCATTGATGATAATAATGCTTTTATTTCTAACGCAATATCAAATGAAGGAATAAACTGGAGTTTTATTCCTCCAAGGTCTCCACATTTTGGCGGACTTTGGGAGGCAGGTGTAAAAAGCGTCAAACACCATTTAATTCGCGTGACAAAGGGTAGTATATTTACTTTTGAGGAATTTTATACAATTTTAACTGAAATTGAATCAATACTGAACTCCCGTCCAATGACCCCTCTTTCAAATGATCCCCATGACTTGACTCCTTTGACTCCCGGTCACTTTCTAATCGGAAGGTCGATAACGAGTTTACCTGAACCTGACTTGACTCAAATGAAAACTACGCGATTGTCGAGATATCAACACTTAATTCAGATCCGACAACATTTTTGGTCACGTTGGTCCAAGGAATATATTTCCGAACTCCAGGTGAGGTCTAAATGGCATAAGGCGACACCCGGTATACCCATTGGAGCACTAGTCGTGATCAAAGAAGACAACGTTCCTGTAATGCAATGGAAGTTGGGACGCATTTTAGAAAAACACTACGGTACGGACAACGTGTGTCGTGTAGTGACAGTGAAAACACAAACGGGTGTGTTTAAGAGAGCAATTTCAAAGGTGTGCGCGCTTCCGATCGAAGAGAAAGGTGCCAGTGACTAAAAACATTAAACATTGTATATAAAATTTAAAATTACTTGTTAATACTGATGTAGTTAGTATTTAGTTATTAATTTTAGCCCTAGTGATTATTGTTTGATTCACTACTGTACTAATGTTTATATTTTATTATTTATGCCCTAATAATTCATTGAAAGGCCTCCTTTCAAGGTGGGCGGTATGTTTGTAAATTTTCAATATAAGTGCCTTAAGCGCCTCAAGCGGCATGCGCCACTTAAAGCTCCTCCCCCAAGGGCTTACCGAGGGATGACTTCTTTTAAAATAGTTAGTCAGGCTACTGTAGCCGCTCTAGAAAGGAACATTGTTAAATAATTAAGCTACCATTTAAGTCATTGTATTATTCAGCAGTTAACTGAATAAAGAGTTAAGTTTTACATACTTCGTGTTCAATTCCTTTCTACTAAGCATCACAAAACAAACAACTTTACAAATTTACTAATTAAATCATTTATTTCATTTGTCTCATATCAAAAAAATCATATTAAACTTCCTTCTAAAGTGAATAGATTTAAAAACTAACCAACCTTGGGTTTTGGGCTAACAATATACCTATGTATATATGAATATTGGGTTAATATATATTGATAAAAACTAATATTTTTTTGTTTTTCCAAAACCAAATTTCCAAATCGTTACGCGTTGTATCGTATACTTAAAAATGGCGGATGCGCCGGGATTAATTATGAAAACATGGAATTGGAAATGGAATTTCAAAAAATACTCTTGTAGTGGTTATATTAAATTATATATTTGTCAATATTTTAGCCTATTATGCCCAGAGGTTTGGTCTAGGCTTTATATACTTTTATTGTAAACCGTGTTGAAAGTTGCACTTTTCCGCACGTTCGACAACTTGTAGAAAATAGTTATTTACTTATTAAATATGTGGAAATTGCTACTTTTTAGCACGAGACTGTTATTAATGATCAGTCTAGTACAGAAAAGATTTTCTTTTTGAATATTAAATATTAATGGGATAATTAATATATTTATTAATTTTATAGAAAAATAATACTAGTCTGTATTTTATATACATTTATTGTAAATTATACATTATATTTTATGATTTTATTAAAAAAAAAGGAATTTATTTAAACCATTAATACTTCTCAACTATAAATATCTCGGTGATCCCAAATTTAACCTATATTAATTTTATTTTCATTGAGAAGTTTAACATTACTATTTTCTTTCTTAAGGTGTTACGTGCAGAATAAATGAGTAACATGTTTATTTGCATTTCCATCCGATCCAAATATCAAAAAATACTGTACAATAACTGTGGGGTATAATATCATGGCCATATTTTTTTGTTGTGAAATTTTCGGAAAAGTAATATAATCATACAGGGTATCCCAGAACTTACGCAACAAATAAATGTAAAACGATAGCAATAGAGAATTCGTTAAATTGCTAGGATACTTAGCATGCATTGTTGATATTATAATATGTAAAATATTTGGTCGACTGGAATCCACTTCATTATGACACTGCTGTCAATTTTTGTTCCTGACATTATTTGGATAACTTTTTCTGGGGTAAACACAATTATTTGCAAAATGACAGTATTTTTAAGGGGTTACATACATTTGTGCTGGAATATGGAATATTCTTACAATATATATTTTTAAGAATATGTACTTAAAATTTCATCAAGATCGTAGCACTAGAACTTATGTTATAACAATTTATAGCGCGCTACCTCACAAACATTTAAAGGCAAATTGAATGAACTTAAAACTTTATCTTTATCTCGGAATCGTATTTTTTGAAAACTGCCGTTGTCTTGAGCATGATTTCTCGACAACCAATTTGCCGATCGATCTGAAATTTGGAAGTATTGTTCCTAATTACAATATCCCCTTCGTGAAGGGATTTTCATTCGGACGAAAATTTCTATTTTTTTCGGCCGGAAAACTCAATTTTTTTACCCTCGAAAATCGATTATTTTGGAAAAATCACCGCCATTTGCGTTTACGAAGGGGGTGATACTATGTTCTAATTTGGATTTTTTTCATTAAGATCTGTTTGGCGGTTTTCCATATTTTATGATCCGCAAACGCTTGAAAAAAAAGACGTTTCAGGGCAAGGGCTGTATTTTCCACAATTTTCCATATTTTCGCATACTTTTTTTTACAAATACTTCGAAACATACCCTATTCGATGCTTTATAGTTCGTTTCAATATAATTATTATTATACCTATACCAAAAAAATCACCAAAAAACGTTAATTTTTACAAGCTCATATGTATGTAACCCCTTAATGCTGCTCAAAAAATTAATAATGATTTGGGAACCCTCTTAATCCTTTTGAGAAAAGTTCTAAATGATGATCAACCTTTTGATCATTATTAAAAATGAGTTATTTTACAAATAATTTTACTAAGCCCAGAAAAAGTTTTTAGCGCTTGGTTCCTTTTCAATAAGCGTTATTATTTATCATTTTCCTATGCCGAAATGATGATTATTTATGGGGAGTATGGGGGCAATGCTAGGCACGTAGCACGAGTTTTGAAAGCGCTTTTCCGACCGTCCCCTGAACTGTAAAGTTGTTCTGATTTGTAACGAAATTGAAGGTGTTCCTTAACGTATTAAAACATGTAAAAAAAAGAAGCTATTTTTAATGCCTTTGATGCAAATAGTAGGAAGAGCATAAGAGAAGTTGCACAGTTAAGCGAATTATGAAGGAATTCTGTAGTGGTTGGTGACTTTCATCGGTATTGGCTGTCGCTTTTTTGCTCTCATTCGATTACACTTTTACCTAGAATTTTTTTATTTTTACATACAAAAAATACGTATAGTTTAAAAAATTCCTTTGACTGCACGTAACGTCTTAATTTTTATTTTTAATACTAAAAAATATTATTGGGTCAACAATTAAACAAGTAGTAGTACTGACATCTTCAAGTAAAAGGTATTGGCACCATGGTATGGGTAGGTACTTAGTATTAAAATATATACAGGGTAAGCATCATCAAAATATGACACTACATACAAAAATACTGAAAGATTTGTATTGGCACAGTTCACATTCACAACACTTATTAGTAGTAAACTTTTTCATTTGGGTGGTCGTAAATTGAATTCTCGTCCTTTTGCTGCTGGATTTGCTGTTGGTGCTGATAGAGTGGAACGAATTGAGGAACGTAGTACCTCACCCCGCCAGAATAAATAATGCCTATTTGAGGTACGTATTTGTTGTTTGGGTTATCGTAATTCTGTTGTAATTGTTGGAAGTACTGAGGTTTGACGTAACGCACTGAAGGCTGCAAAGTGGTTTTTGGTTTGTTTTCATAGAACTCGTACCCTTGCTTTTCGAATATGTGAGGACCAGTGTAGTCAGTACCGAGGCTTCTACCTTGTTGTTGTTTCTTTTGTAGGTTGTATTTCTGCAAACTGGGTGTGTATTTTTGATCTAACGGAGTACCAAGAACCAAGTTGGGTGGTACTCTTACAGAAAGCAGCTTGGTGCGGTACTGATGGGGAACCAAGGGTTTATACACGCTGGGATTTGGTAGGTCCTCATTGTCTTCAGATACAGGGGCGGGACTTCTTGCCACGATGTTCCTGGGTTCCAAGCTCGACGGTGACTTTTGTCTTGGTACTATGGGGCCTTGATTGGTGCCAAACGTAACCATAATGGGTTTCGTGGATGTCAAGGTTGCGAAACCGAGCAGGGTAATCTGTAAAGAATAACAAACTGTCAGATCGATATCACAGTTATTAACATATTTAAACACTTTTACATAAATGGATGTAGTATTCTTAAGCATTTATTAATATTTATATGTTTATGTTTGTTTTTATTTAAATTTTATTAAACATTGCTTTTATATTTTTGGTATTTAAGCCTAACGAAATTAAATATAGTACTAATACTAAGAAAAATACATCGTTATTATTTTACAACCCATTATGTTTCTCTGAAGTAATCTCTTTTGAAGATATCTTAACAGTTGCATATTAATTTACAAGTAAAAGCAATAGAAATCATTTGTTTTCATTTGGAAACAAAACGTTTTTGTTCAAAGTGTATTTAGTATTACATTAACAATTACTTAGCAATACTTGTATTAAAATTTTTAGATAAAAATAAATATAGTATATTTGTATAGTTTAATGTGGTTAACAAATGCATAAAAATTAAATATTTCAAAAAATTTAATTTTCATGTTTTCCATAAGATAAATATAGATATCTCGCAAAAGACTTAAGGTCTTTTTTACATTAAAATAAGTTTATTTAAGCGTTGTTTAGCAATGTTTCACTAAAATTACAAAATTATGGACTTGCAATTGAGTCACGACAAATTTAATTAAAATCAGCTCAATTACAGTTTCATTTAATTTAAAAAAATATTAAAAATTTATTTGAAATTACACATGACAAGTGCTAATTTATTAACGTCTCTGTAACTTTTGATGTAACCGTGCGTCACTTTAATATATGCGCATGTTATTTATTGAAATAAGTTAAATAAATAATTGTAAATAATAAAATCGTGAACATCGATAACGGTTAGGAAATTTTTTATAGCTGACAACTTGTTTCCCAAGATATATGGACCGATCTATACGTTGTGACATGAAAATTGCTAGGAAAATACGTTTTTTGTTTTTTAAACTCATTATTTTTTCAAATATGGGGTCCCAAAATGTGCCTAAAGTTGACATATTTGATGAGTGAGAATTGACAGTGACATTTCTTTATACAGGGTTATTTAAAATCCTAAAATGAGTTTTTTTAATAATTTTTTGTTTCAAAGTTGTATAAATGTATTTATGTATACAAAACATTAGTTTAAGTGTTCTCCTTCTGGCATTATTAATATCTATCTCTGTAGGTATATCATTTTACAGCTGGCGATTAAGAATGTCAAGTTCACAGCTATTTAAGTAAGTAATGATAAAGTATGATGCATAATTGCAACAAAAATAATTATAGATGATGATACTATAAATAAATTTAAATGCAATTACAGGAAGGTTAATAACATGGAATTCCTTATTGGATATGCGTGAGTTTTGCGAAATTTGCAGTAAGAGTTTAATTTTAAATAAATGTAAATACGAAAAGTATCTGGGTACTGTTTTTAATTATAATTAATAATTTTTAATTATTTGCTTGTCAGTATTGTTTATTTAGTCTGCATATTGTGTTATTAAAATAAACTTCAATATGTAAAAATATTAGAAAGATCTTCAAAATTCAAAATTTTCAAATATTTTTCTGATTTTCTAAGAACTTGGATAGGTTTTATGTTATTAGGTAATTTAGTTTTTTATATCTTATATATTTTTATCATTTCATTGAAACAGTCATGCAATATTACATACTAAATTATATTTATCATCAATAATAGTGAGATTTGACATATACAATGTATATTATACATACATACACACATCATTCCTCCAATTATAATTTTATTTAAAGCGTAACATTTATCTGGTAGAAATCTTATATTATAAAAATGTGTTCAAAGTGTAAAAGAATTTTTTAAATTTGTTATATTGTATTGTAATATAGCACAATAATTGTATAACTAACTATTATAAGGTGTATGAAAAGGTTCATTTTGTTTAGATATTATCTTTTATATAAATAATATATGTAATTAGGCAACAATAATATGAACAAAATAGTAGCTAGATAAAATGTAAATTTCTTTTTTTTACATAAGAAAATAATATTTATAAATTATGTTTGAGCTTTTATTCAAAGTTTAAAGTACTAGGTCCTATTTTAATTTGGGAAATACTATATAATATGTAATAAGTTCAATAAACGTTACAAACTCAATTAAAAATTAATTAATTTAAATGCTTAGTTTATTAAACCTTAACGTAATTTTACTCACCATAATTTGCTGTTCTGTGAATAATTTATTTTGCATTTTAATTAATTGCTGCAAATTTAGATTTCGAATATTTTTGTTATTGTTATCGTACAATTATAAATTTAACGCTGAAGTGAAGAAAATATGGTGTAGTAATTAACATATTGTTGCTACAGATATGTTTGTATGTAATTTTAATAAGATTTATCCCTGGAAAATATAGGTGATCCTTAAATATTTACTCGACATTCTATTTTATCTGTACTTAAAGTGGCAGATTAACAGTCTATTTCACACAACTTCCATATAAGTCAAATATAATTAACTATTTCATACGAATATATAATATTACTGTTTTAAATACCATGATCATAAATATAAGAATCTTTGAAAGCTAATATTAAATAAGAAATTCTTTATCTTCCAGTAGAAAAAGTTCATGTTCTTGAATTGTTAGAAGACATTTATGGATCTTGCACCTACTGAATAATATCAAAGTTAGCCTTATCTTTACATAATTTCCAACTGAGAATAGTTTATCAAGTCTCAGATCAATTAAAATTACACAATATAAAAATAAAAACATTAAAGTTAAAATCAATAAATTAAATTTGCTAATGCGCATTATAAATTTGGATTCTGAGGGTTTTGTAAATTTCATCATTTGCTAATATTCTGCGATTGTTTGTTTCGATTACAATCTTTTATATTGCAGCCGTTTGCAAAACGTAATCTATTTAAATTAATTGTATAACATAAAAATTTATTCAAATTAATCCATTAGTATTTTACAATGAGAAGAACTGGGTAGTAATGTAAATTGTATATTTCAGTAGCTAAGCATTGTTTAAAAGTCTTTAAAAATTAAGTGGTATTCTCATGTCCTATTTTTAAAAATAATTATATCATTTTTTATATTATATAACCACTGGCGCTTATATTTAAATAAACAGTTTACTTATGACATGATTGATTGTTAAAATTAAAAAACTTTGATAGTACATTATAGGTACTACTTTGCTACTAAGGTACTGTCGGGTAATAAGGCCAGGCAGGTTATAAGGCCATACTGTTCAAAATACCATTAGAATAATATGGCCAAAATGCATTTTTTTGTTAAAATTTATAAATGTTACTGTATATATTTTTTGGGTCCTCTTCCTGAAAATTCTTAAAGAATAACCTGTTAAGTTATCTTTTTATATGCCAAAGATTGAATATGTTTATTTGTTTTTGATTTAAAAAATTTAAAACGTTAACCTGGCCTTATTACCCGACAGTACCTTATACTATTTTACTACTCGGGTACACCAGTACCAAAAATGCAAAAAATTACAAAAGTAGTAGTAGTAGTAGTCATTATAACGTTAAGAAAAATTATAAACTGGGTTAAAGGCATTCTAGATTTTCCGATACACAAAATTTAAGGCATTACTTTCAATTTTACAGATCCTAATTTAATAATAGACAGTTAAATTTTATAGTACAAATTGTAGTGTAGATACACGTGAGTTCGTCTAAAGTTATTAAAGGGTGCACCCGTCAATTTTGAACGATAAATTACCTGAATAATATGTTTAAAGGAAACTTCGGGGCCTTTCTCTTACGTAAGAAAGTCACTCTTGATTGTCTTAGATTACATTATTTTTGTGTAACTATCGTTACCGGAGATAGTAAACCTTCACCAAATTACCTAACCAACTAAATATCTGAGGAAGCGCATTTTTTTCGAGCTTTGTTGTCATAGTTAAGTGTAATATACATAATATATAATTGATTTTTTTAATGATCTTGTTAATAATTTTTTAGATATTTTTTTAATAAATTTTAATTTTATATTCATTTATATTTTAAATAATTGTTTGTAATTTTTTTTGTCAAGAAAATTGCATACATTTTTAAATCCTATGAACTTTACGTAAAACAACACATTTCCGACTGATGAATTCCTAAATTGGCTTTGCAGAACAAGATTTGCTTGTCTTTAAGAAATTATTCAATACATACTATCCATTAAATGTAGTAGCATTACAACCTGAGAATGCCTGCAACTGTCAGGCATCTAATAAATTAAAGTGGACATTAATTTCCTCGACATAGCGTGCTAGGTGCGAATTTTATGTAAGGCTTATCTTCAAGAGATAATTTTACGTTTGATAAATTTGTTGATTTGCCGATATTTTAAAATTATTACTTTAAATATATTATTTTGAAATTTTAAATTTAATTTTTGTATATTAATTAATTGTAAAATATTTTTGATCTAAACAAACTTTTTGTTTAAAAAACTAAGAAGCCGAATTCTCCCAAACCTTTTACTCTGTAGTTATGGTCATTATAATTTTCTTAACTTTTTGCAATGTTCAGTAATATATGGATAATAACGAACTGAAATAATCTAGGAATCTTCTTGATTCCATTTACGTTGTTAATTTTGAAATCGAGATGTTACGATGTCGAAAACAGTCTCTTATTTTCAAGCAAATGAGTTTTGAAATTGTCGTTGTTTTACCCTAAATGGTATCGGGGATTTTTAATCTTTAAAAGGTGGCAACCATGAGCCAATCAGCCTATCTTTGTCAAACTAGATTCTTGGATGAAAATGTTAATTTGGTTTGTACATCATTATTTAAGATTTGTAATCGATTTGTACATCTACAGTGTCCAGCAAAAGTATGCAACAAATTCATTAAAAAATGTGCCTTTTTTTCTTCAAATGTTAAACGGATGACTGTATCATTCAAACAGAAGGAAGCTTTGTTCGGAAAAAGTATTTTACGAGGAAAGTGTGGATTATTGTTACATAAATTCACTATAGTTTAACAAAATTGTAGTCTACGGTCC